AGAGAGAGAGCCCTGCAACATGCAGCATGTCAATGGCGGGGAGCACAAGGGCAGGCACTAACCTCGGGAAAAAAAAGGTAATGGTCTATTCGAATACAATAGTTTTTTCTTTTTGGAATTTGAATAGAAAAAGTACGTCATGTATTTGAATACAATCCGTGCGCGGTCTATTCGAAGTGCCCTTCTATTCGAGACAAGTGGGCGCATGCCGTTTCGATTTCCAAATGTTCAGCTTACGGACCACGGCCTCCTCATCCTCCTACGGGCAGCTACCGGTCCTCCACAAGCAACAATTGCCCGTTCCTGATGAATTGCCCCCCCAATAAATTCGCCACCCTTCCAACTACCTTTTGGACCCGAATGGACGACCGGTATAACGAACGACGACAAAATTGACTCAGGCGTATGAAACGCACCTTTGACGGGCTGTGGAATGTTCGCTTCTTCAAAACCTCAGTTGATATGCCATCCTCGACTGATATGCTACCCTGAATTTAGGGACTACAAAAAAAATAGAAATCCGGATAAGCCGATGACTTTTTTTCGACCGAACAATTGGCGACCGCACCGCTCTTGTAAGCATGAACACGACCGTTGCCCAGTGACCCGACTTCTCGTGGCAGGGTGCAAAGCACCACGCGCGGGCGCTACAGCCACTTCCGAACTTTGAACGCGTCGCTGTCGAGGGAGAGCGACCTCCAGCCGTGTCATGCCACACCCTAGAGCGTGGCTCAAGCGAGAGGGAGAGAGGGAGATGAGCACGAAGGGGGATGTTGAAAAGAGGGAAAGAAGAAGAAAGACAAGGGAAGCTTGCGTGGAAGGAGAATTCCTTATGAGTAAATCGTAAAGGCGCCACTAACGAGAGAGGAAGGCGAGAGGTAAGAGTGTTCCCTAACTCACTCGGTTCTCACCTACTCGAAAAAAAGTGGCCAAGAAGGACAACAGCAGGCGCTCCGAAGTGAAAGCGGCAAAGAGAAGAACTATCAATGTTCCCTGGCCTCACAAAGAGTGATAGGACAATAGAGACACAGGTATCAAGGAAAGCTTCCTTGCCGAAATTAGTAGTGGACGGAGTACGAAGTTCTGAGCCATGATTCTTCAGCGAAGGCTCAATCACCGAGTTTAGTAATAGGAAGGAAGGGAATATATGCTCCTGAATGCTCGCCAATAGTACTGGACTGTTGCGCCATTAGTCATCGTTAGTAAATCCTGTCTCTACAGTGAACAAGGGAAGGGGCCAGCTCCACCTTTACATAGACCGATCGCACCATCATAATAAGTAGAGAAAACCCGAATTTCGAAAGTAGACAGCTTGGACGATAGAGCGGAGAATTTTTTTTTTAGCGCTACCGACCCCATTTTCAACCACTTCAACTCTCTCTCAATTATTTTTTGAAAGCGACCTTCCAGTAGGGACAATCTGAATGTATGTGGAGGCTATAGAAGCTTACCACATTCGAAGTGAATCCACCCAGTTTTAGTGCACTGATTCATCGTCCACCCACCTCCCAGAGGAGTAGGTACGAATCGAATAGTGGAAGCAAATAGCACAATTTCCCATCTCGCCGAAACTCACATTGTGTGTTTCATTCTTGCCCTTGCCTTCGGAGGACCTGTGCCCATAACCCATTATTGCCGACGTACACGACAACCCAGAATCCAAGACCATTTAAAGGAAATAGCGCCGAGTGTCGACCACCCCACCACCCCTCCCAACACAACGACCCACCCAAACGAAGGTCGAAGCCCAAAGCACGCTTCCACTTCCTACGGCCCACCACCCAGCATTGTCTATCAATGCCAATTACCTACTAACGCTAATTAGAGTTCAGTTCTCTCCTTCATTAATCATCTACTCTAAACTTTAAAACCTCTTTTTTAATTAACCACCATCAATAGTTTTGTCGTATGCTTTGGGTAACCCGATTATAATTCATTATTTGTCATTCATTATTTATTGTGGGCTAATAACATTTTATTGCAATTCTGTGTAAAGATTCATTGGGGGTGAAACGGTTTTCACCTTTGCAGAAGCAGATGCAGATCCCAGGGTTCGATCCCTAGACCTTACCTGCACCCGCGTACAGTATTGAGTAGACCCCTGTGTGTTTTGAGCTCGCGACCTGTGTTTTAGTAGTGACTGTTGTGTGTCGTAGGTCCCTGTAGCTGTAGGGGTTCGATCTGTAGATCTGTCAAGTAGGATCTGTAGATCTGTCAAGTAGGGATTACAGCTGTGTAGAGGTCGAAACTGCTAGGCTAGAGGTCTGAAGGCAAGTCGTAGGTCCAACTGCGCTAAGTTGGCAGTACAATCCCACTGAGTCGGCAGTACAGTCCCGTTCAGTCAGCGGTACTGGTCTCAGTCATGCTTGTCGAGTCCAGCAAGTACCGTATGGGACTGTGCACCAAAGGGCCGGTGAAAACGGGCAGACCAGCGACCCACAGAAGTATAAATCAAGAGGCAGCGTCCAGCTATTCATTGATTCTGCTGCAAGCCATGTGGAAGCGCTGTCAGTGCATCTTGTGCGAGGTGGTCTGCAGATGCCCGAGGTCGAAGTGGGCTGAAGGAAGATAGTTCGTCCATAGCCAGTAGTAGTGGAGCGGCCGTAGCCGCTGCAGCTTAGAAGTTGAGTTCAGTGTGTGTGTGTATTTGTGTACAGCGAGAGTGTGTGTGCGCGTGGGATATCCAGGGAGATCCAGTGAGTTTGCGTGTGAACAAGTTGTGAGGATACCGCGACGTGGGGGATGAAGTAAAGGCGCACAGGCGCCATAGTTATTTGAAGAGAGCTTGTATTTGAACTGTGTTCTCGCCTGTGATATCTCTGAGCTTTGTGTGGGCGCCTGGCGCCAGAGTACTTTGCCATTTGTTTACATGCATACGGAGTAAGAAGAAAGTGAGTCTGATTGCATTGGTATCGGAGCAGGTTCCCGCTGTTCCACGCGCTAAGGTTGCCACGAAGAAGAAGCGCCAGCAGGGTGCCGTGTCCGCACGGCAATATCGAAGGAGGAATATCATAGCTGCGCCGCTGTACCTGCACAAGAGAATAACGGCGGAGAGAGAGAGAGAGAGAGAGAGAGAGAGAGAGAGAGAGAGAGAGAGAGAGAGAGAGAGAGAGAGAGAGAGAGATGGGCTTTACAAGATTGGTTGTGTGACCTACAGAGGGACGAGGCAGCCATAACCGCCGAGCTCGGACATTGAGAAAGAAGACACAGAGAAAGAAGATAAAGTTGAAGAGGAGAGATAAGGGACGAAGAGAGGGAGAGAATCATAGCTGAGGTGGAGGAGGAAGGAGAGACAAAGAAGGGAGAAAGAGAAACCGTACCCGGGGGTGAAGAAGATAGAGACGAGGGATGAGAAAGAAGCCATACCCGAGGGTGAAAGAGGAGGAACAAGAAGGAAGGCGAAGGGAAGTGGAAGAAGGAGGGTTGGCTGCCATAGCCAACGTTGACCGAGGTGTTTACCAGTGTTGACCAGGCACTTACCAAAGTTGACCAAGTACTTTTCAGCGTTGACCGGGGTGCATGCCAGCATTGACCGAGAAGTTGACCGAAGTGTTGACCAGCGTTGACCACGGAGTTGACCGGGACATTGACTAGCGTTGACTGAGGTGTTGACCAGGGTGTTGATCGGAGTTGTTGACCACAAAGTTTGACCAAGCTGGAGATTGGTATACTCTCGCCAAGCCTTCAACCTATCCCCTCGCCCTCTGGATGCGCACATACCCCACGGTAGTTGCTGAGTCAATCTGTCTCTTCTTTCTGCATTGAGTCTCTTCTGTCCTGGTGATAGGAACTCTGTGAATGAGGTCATAGAGCTGCATTGACCAAACCCACACGGCCTGAGTAGGGCTAAAGGCCGTGTCTGACGATTGACTGACCGGGAGGATAAACCCTCCCAAGGACCGGTACAGACCGGTGGGCTGCTAAGTGTGGCACGGTAGGCCCAAAATCCGAGTTGTGGGCTGCACAACCAGTTGTCTACGTTTTGAGAGGACTTGCTGATCGCGTCGTCCTGTTTGCGATGTTAAATAATTCCTGAGGAGTTACGGGGGATCTCCTTAAATGCCTCTTGATCAGCGGTAAGTCCTGTAGTGACAGCCTAGAAGTAGAGTCAGGCTAGAGACCATAGTTGAAAGGGTCCTCTAAGGATTTTGTGGTCCTTAGTAAGTCCGTCATTAAGTTAAGTCAGTCAGGGGGTGAGAGTCTAAGTGGTGAGGAGTGGAATTGTCATCCAGTTGTACATCTATCACCATGGTGGGCACGCGTAGCGATACGAGTACCACCCCATATACGAAAGAGCAGGAAGAGAGTGCCGCCGCCATATTGAAAGAAAGAAAAGAGAAAAAGGAGGCCAAGAAGAAGGCCCTGTTGGAAGTACAGGCGGCGAAGAAGAAGAAGCTTGAGGAAGAGATGGAGAGGGTGAAGAGAGAAGAGGAGGAGAAGCTTAAAGAAGTAGAAGTAGTAGTAGTAGTAGAAGAAGACGAAGAAGAAGAAGAAGAAGAAGAAGAAGAAGAAGAAGAGGAGATACCCCTGGTGAGGACTATGAGGAGAAAGGAAAGAGGGGAATCCAGTGGGGTTAGTGAAGACGAGAAGAAACTAGAGAAGATGATGTCGGAGTGGGTGACTAACTTATCCCTGGGGGAAGATGAAGAAGCGTTGATATACATCCCCCAGGACGAGAGGGATGTTGCTGTGGCAAAGATAAAGGCCCTGGCTGATCCGTTAGAGCAGCAAGCCCTGGAAGAGGAGAAAAGAATGGAGTGGAAATTACTACTGAGGAGGCAGAGAAGGAGGCGCATAGAGGCGGCTACTGAGTTAGAGAAGGAATTGGCTGCCGCAGCAGAACAGCATACAAAGGCGCTGGCACAAGAGGACTTGCAGAATAAGTTGGATGCAATCGCAAAGAGTATAGATGTATTGATTCGCGTCCAACAAGAGAAGATGCATACCTGAAGGGGCCATGACATAGCCCTACAGTCCATTTGAGTAGGCTTTAGAGACTTTGCCCACGATATGATGATGCGGATGGGCTCTGTGATGCAGGCCCGTATGAAGAACACAAAACAATTTTGTGTTGGCGCCATAGAGGGCGCCAAGCTCGCAGTCCCAAAGGAGGAGGAGGCACGCCCGCATAGGGAAAGGGTGAAGGTAAAGTTTCCTGACGCCTACAGCAGGAAACAAGGAGAAGATTTCGGTAATTGGGAGGCAAACATTAACTCCTACGTGCACCTCCAGGATATTATCTCTGAGGAGCAAGTCCTCATCGCATTCCATGCCCTTAGAGACGAAGCGTCTAGCTTCCCCAGGTCGTTAGTCCGCGCCGCCAAATGTGACAATAAGATGGTGGCGTACTCCACCATCACCCCCCTTAGCGAATTCCTAAAGTTACTTCGCGAACGTTTCGTGGATGTGACTTGGAATCAAGGCCTCAGACAAGCTCCATACAATCCATACATGTCAGTGGAAGAGTGCAAGGGCACTCAAGAGGGCTATGGATGAGCTTGTCGCGGTTCCAAACCATGGGGTCACTGAGCCACAACTGCTTCAGTTATTCTTCCGTGCGATGCCCGAAAGTTTGCACGCGCATTTCTATGACAAGTCGCGAGAGCAAGGTATGACTTATGATAAGTTGAGTCGCGACGTCGTTGCATATGAGGCCCAGTCCACGCCAGTCAAGGCCTTCTGGCATAGAGACTTCGAGAAGGGTAAGAAGTGGAAGGGCCTGACCATCTCAGGGCAGGTTAAGGGAAAGGATAGCCTGATCTTGACGTTGGACGAAGGAGGAATGAAGGAGGTCTCATATAGTGAGATTGAGTGGGGCCTCGAGGAGGAAGACAGGAGTGTAGGTCAGGGGAGGTTTTATGCTGCTGCCGCGGCTGGAGGAAGGCCGCAGGGAAGAGGAGGAGGCCGGGGCCAAGGGGGTGGGGCCTCAGGTGGTCGAGGATAGGACGATTAGGGGGTTGGCGGCAGAGGAAACCGCCAAGAGGGAGGTAGGGGTCAAGGTCCCCTGCAAAACCGTCCGCGTTCTAATCGGTCACCTTATAGGAGGGGTGGATGGCACCCTGGCTTGCCACAGGGCAGGCTTTGGGAAGATTTGGGTCTCGATCAAAAAGTTTGGCAGAAAAGGATGGACCAGGATCAATGCATTTACTGCGGTGATCCAGGCCACATTATCAAATGCTGCCCAAAATACAGGGAGGCCTGATTTGCTGCACAAGCAGCAAAAGGCAACCGCCGGTAGAGGTCGCAACTGCCCTTACCCCTAGACCATGTGGAGAAGAGTGTGCGCACCATAGAGAAACTCCCAACCCACATGTGTCTATGGCAGAGGTTGCTGGCCAGTGCCTAGAAGGCTGTCCAGAGACTGCTTGCGTTAGGGTCTCTCTAGGCACTTCCCTCACAGGCGTGGCAGAAGAAATGAAGGAGAGAATGCCTGCTGGGCCAAGATGAAGAAGGATGGAAAAGGACAACTAGTATTGGTAGATGTAGAGATTTTTAGAGGCAGAGTAAGGGCCCTTACAGACAGTGGGGCCACCCGTAGCTATATTAGTCGCAAAGCGCTACAGAAGCTGAAGTTGAATCTAAAGGTCCGAAAGATAGAGGAACCTATAGTCAGCGTCCTCGCAGATAATCGCACGATGCGAGTTGAGGATTGTGTCGAGGGAGTCCAGGCTTATTTTTGCCTAGAGAGAGAAGGTAGAGAGAGTTCTCCATTCCCTGACTCTCCTCGTAGAAGACAACCTCCCGTTTGATATAGTCCTAGGAATGGACTGGGGAGAGGCAGCAAGGGCCACACTCCACTTGAGAGAGCAAGAGTGTAGGCTCCCTAGTCCGTCAGGTGGAGTTAAGACTGCTTGCCTGTTCATGCGTCAGGGGTAGACAACCCCTTGGCACATTGCTGCCTCAGCGCTCCTGCATTTGCAAGATTAATAAAGGAGGACCAGCTAGAAGAACAGGTTTTCGTGGCCTATGTTAGGCCAATCATTGAGCCTAAGTTCGAAGAGCCCATAAACCCTCGTATTGCCAAGTTGCTGGAAGAGTATGCAAATCTGTCTGAGCCGTCCACATGAGTAGTTCAGCGGCCAATCCTGCATCGAATTGAGATAGAGCCTGGCTGTAGAACTCCCAAAGGAGCGGTGTATAGAATGTCCCCAAGGGAGTTAGAGGAGCTGCGAAAGCAGTTAGACGAACTCTTCGAGAAGGATTGGATTAGACCCAGTTCATCTCTGTTTGGAGCGCCTGTTCTGTTCGTCCCCAAAAAGGAGGGAGAGTTGAGAATGTGTATAGACTATAGGGGTCTCAACGCCATCACAGTGAAGAACACAGAACCACTGCCTCGAATAGATGATTTGTTGGATCGAGTGCAGGGTTGCAAATACTTCTCTAAGATAGATTTGAAGTCAGGTTATCATCAGATAGAGCTTCATCCTGATGATCAGCACAAAACGACGTTCAGGGCCAGATACGGACACTATGAGTTTATAGTGATGCCCTTTGGACTAACCAACGCGCAAGCTACGTTTCAGCGTTGTATGAATGACTTGTTTAGGCCGTGGTTAGATAGATTCGTAGTTGTATATTTAGATGACATTTTAGTGTTTAGCAAGACCCTTTAGGAGCACGAGGGCCATATGAGGCAAGTCTTGGAGAAGCTGAGAGAGGCTAACTTCAAGCTTAATGCGAAGAAGTGTGAGTGGGCCAAGACACATGTTTTATACCTGGGCCACGTCCTAGATGGAGATGGCATAAAGCCTGAGGACAGTAAGATAGCAGCGATTAGAGATTGACCGACTCCCCGCATGCTGACAAAGTTGCGGTCGTTCTTGGGGTTGGCAAATTTATAGAAAGTTCGTCAGGAACTTCTCCACCATTGTTGCTCCCCTTCGCCGGTTGCTAAAGAAAGAGGCAATTTGGAAGTGGGATAAAGACGCACATCGGCTCTGAAGAAGTTAAAGCGGGCCTTGATAGAGTACTCAGTCCTCAAGGTAGTCGATCCGTCTTTGCCTTTCGTTGTTACCACTGATGCAAGTCAGTACGGTATAGGTGTTGTTCTACAGCAAGACAATGGCAATGGATACAGACCCGTAGAGTTCATGTCTGCTAGAATGCCTTCAGAAAAGGTAGCGACATCCACCTACGAGAGGGAACTCTACGCTCTCAGGCAAGCATTAGAACACTGGAAGCAAAACTTGCTAGGGAGGAACTTTAAAGTGTATTCAGACCACGAGACGCTAAGGTGGCTGAAAACACAGGCCAAGATGACACCAAAGCTAACTAGGTGGGGCGCAAAGATAGATCAGTATGACTTTGAGCTCAAGCCAGTCAAGGGAAAATACAATATAGTTGCGGACGCTCTGAGTAGGAGATCGGACTACTTTGGAGCGATAGTGCACTATTTGGATATAGGGAGATACCTGCAACAGAGAGTCAAAGAGGCGTATGCACAGGACCATATCTATAGCGACCTCCTCAAGAGAGTTAAGGAGGCACCAGAATCAGAATCAGATTACCACACGACAAATGGCTTGTTATTTGAGAAGACTAATGTTGTTGACCGCCTATGCGTCCCCAATAGCGAAGAGATCTGCAGTTTGATCTTAGGGGAGTGCCATGATACAGAGGGACATTTTGGTTGGCAGAAAACGTTAGCCAACCTCATGTGCGCATATACTTGGCCTGGCATGAAGGCCGATTGCATAGAGTACGTACGCAATTGTAAAGTCTGTCAAAGGAATAAGACTACTATGCAAGCCCCTCTAGGTCTTCTTAGAACCTTGCCTATTCCCGAAGGACCCGGAGATTCAGTGTCTATAGACGTCATGGACGCTGGTGTCAAGAGTAGACATGGCAAGAGCCAAATCATGGTTGTAGTAGATAGGTAGGTTTAGCAAATATGCCATTTTTGTTCCTTTGCCCTTTGAGGCACGCACAAAGTTAGTAATACGGAAGTTTTTCGACCATTGGGTCAGTGAACATGGGCTATCATTGTCTATAGTTAGTGACAGAGACACCCGGTTCACCAGTCAGAACTGGCAGGAGTTAATGAAAGTCTATGGATCAAAGTTGTTAATGTCATCTGGCCGTCATCCAGACGGTCAGACTAAACAGATGAACAAAGTCCTGCAGCAAGTTCTAAGAATGTACATTAGGCCCGACCAACTTAACTGGGACGAGATGCTCCCAAAGGTAGCCAATGCTGACAACAATAGCATGCACTTAGCTACTTGTCGCACTCCCAACGAATTACACAAGTCTTTTAAACCCCGCAGACCGTTTGAAGGACTTAACCGGGATCAGATTCAAAGGCTACCCCCGGTAGCAGGGAATTTGCGATACAACACGAAAAAGAGATTGCTACCGTAATCGAGAACCTCAGGAAGGCCCAACACAAGATGATAGAACAAGCCAACAAACACCATCGCCCTTCACAGTTCCAAGTAGGTGACTTAGTCTGGGTCAAGTCAAAAGAGTTCGCCCCTGAGGAGAACATCTCCCAGAAACTGCTACCTGCATATAGAGGACCGTGGCCAGTCCTAGAAGTCAAGGGCAGAGAGGATGGACCATCCTACACAAAGAAATTCCAGCACACCTCCACACCTACCCAGTTTTCCATGGATCAAAGTTGTTACCGTGTACTACGAGTCAACAATTTTCATCACGAAGGTCTATGAATCCTCCAGATATGGATGGAAGGTACGACATTGATGGCATAGTAGGTGAGGATGTCTTTAAAACAGGAGGTAAAGGTCGCCCACAGAAACAGTACAAAGTCAGATTCTCTTATCAAGAACCTGAAGATGACCGCTGGTTCACAAGAGCAGAACTTCTAGAGACAACTCCCAATATAGTCCGAGCCTATGAGAGAGATAAAAAGGGTAAAGACCCTGCCTTAGACTGAAGTATTCTCGGAGGAC